CAGCTCCCAAAGCCATAAGACTATAAAATTCTGTTATTTTAAATTACTCAGTAGTAGTGTCACATAAGTTTAAAAAAAAAACCTAATGTCTTAGTTTTACATCATAATATGACATGATTTTAGTTACATGTGTGTTTATTTGGTTTGTTTTGTTTTGCCCCTTTAACCAGATGATCATCGATAGAATAGCAGAGACTGTATCTGCTATCTATTTAACATTATCAAGCATTATACTCTGCTGTCCCAGGAATGGCCAACTGCTTACCAACACCAGTCAAGAAATTAGTGTCAAGAACAAATTCTGGGTGGGCTAGAACAGATATAGGCAAACTTGAGGATCCCCAGGCACTACCTGTTCCAAGTTCTGTTCTCATGACATAGGAGTTACAGATGCTCTAATATTTTTAAGTGGTTGAAAAAGAGAAGTACATTTTACAACCTGAGAAAATTATATGAAATTTAAATATAAGGTTCACACTCATTTACATATCACCTACAGATGTCTTCCTGCAAACTACAAAACAGTTACACACTTATGATAGAGATGACAATGCCTAACTCATTTGCTATTTGGTCATCTATAGTGAAAGAAGTTTTCTAAAACGTGAGTAAAACTTGCTTCATGAGCTATATGAACTGACCAGTGACAACTGGCCCAGGTGACATGGTCCAGGAATGGAGTCATTTGAGAGGAATTTGGAGTGCCTTGAGAACACCCCAACAAAACAAGTCTTGTGACCTCAGTTTCTTCAAAACAGAATTGTTCTTGGAATGTGTTTCATGCTTCTACAAGGTGTAACAGATAGGAGTGACTTTACTTCAGATTACTCATTATTACTTGCTGTTTTCAATCAATTAGATGGGAGCCAGATGTTGGTGGTGCACTCCTTTAATCCCAGCACTCGGGAGGCAGAGGCAGGAGGATCGCTGTGAGTTTGAGGCCAGCCTGGTCTCCAGAGCGATTGCCAAGATTAGACTCCAAAGCTACACAAAGAAACCCTGTCTCGAAAAAAAAAATCAATTAGATATTTGACTATCCTTTATATGCCTTTATGGAAAAACACATTTTTTGCCATGTGCAGCTTGTCCTTGCGATTGTATACTGCTTAAACTCATGAGAACTTCACTCATGTGACCTTTCTTAACCCTCAGTATAAACTATATGAGGCTCTGAATAAAGTTGCCTATTTCATGAGGCTTTAGTTCATCTTATTTATTTGCTTCATTCTCTCAGGCTTTACTGCCCCTGGATCAGTGACAATTAAGAATGGTAACAAGATTTCCACTGAATCTGAAAATTGAACAAGTTATTTTCAACCTATGTATCCCAAATACTGAATATCAGGTATGTGTGGCCATGCCCAGTATTCATGGAATTTTGATGGAATGTATGTAATGGGATAAAGACTTTAAATTCCAATGGAATAAGTAATAGCAATTATAACACAGTTATCTGAATTTATCATAAATACTATCAAAGAAGTCTATCTTGAGTACAAATATCATTAATAAGGACAAATATAGGAGCTCTTAAACTCATACACCGCCCAAAAAAAAGTGCTGTTTACCTTTGATGGGGAAACAAACTGGACACATTCCAGCCATTCTGATAAAAAGGGTTTTCTGCACAATGCACATTTTCTTGCCTTGGAGATTTTTTCTTTGGCCTCTGGATAATACTCTATGGCATTCATAATCAAATCATTGTTTTCTTCTAACAAACAAAGGACAAATCTTGCTGCTATTTCCTAAATTGAAAAAAAGTAGTTCTTTAAATTAATTCAAAATTTATACATTAATTCCTAATTCTTTATTGTTTACTAATCTAAGATTCTACATCATATATAATGACTTACATTGCATGTGGCTTCCATTGTAAAAAAAAAAAAAAGTGTCTTTTATAAATACAGGAAAAGTGGGTACCTTCCACCATCTTTATATCCCATACATGAAAGACAATAATTTCCATTATCTGTTTAATAAAATCAGATGTCATTTTACTTAGGTTTTGTACCTTTCACTACAATAAGCAGGGACTACACATATATGCAACTTAGACTCAGAAAGAGTCAGTCGTATTCACTAGGATCTCAGTTCTTACTATCTGAACTACAGTTCACAGCCCAGTCAACTCTTCATCCCTTAAGGAGTATTAGCACATGTGAGCCAAGCCCTACTACTATCAATCTGTGTCAAACTTAGCTATGCTGATATACACAATGCTGGACTTTGTCAACCAAATAATAAATAATGTAAAAGTAGTGAAGAAAAAGTTGCCTTTCACCAGTACCACAATTATTGTCATCTAAAATTTAATCTTCACTGACCCAACAAAGAAAATAAGCATTTGCCTAACTGCCCAAAATTTTGCACACATATCCAGTATGTCATCATGGCATAAACAATGCTTGTATTTATGAAACAGTGTATGTTAATATATCATAGAAGTCCATATTGCACAAACACCGCTTGATTTTTAAAGAATGTATGGGGACAGTTTATTTGGGACGCATTTCCCTGCCCAAAAAGGGTTTTCTATATCATGTTTGTCTTTTTGTGATTGGGTTACCTCGCTCAGAATGGTTTCTTCCAGTTCCATCCATTTTCCTGCAAATTTCAAGATTCCATTGTTTTTTTCTGCTGAGTAGTACTCCATTGTGTAAATGTACCACATTTTCTCTATCCATTCTTTGGTTGAGGGGCATCGAGGCTGCTTCCAGCTTCTGGCTATTACAAATAATTCTGCTATGAACATGGTTGAACATATGCCCTTGTTATATGAATGTGCTTCTTTTGGGTATATGCCTAGGAGTGGAATTGCTGGATCTTGTGGTAGACTCATTCCCATTTTTTTTTTGAGGAGTCACCATACTGATTTTCACAGTGGCTGTACAAGTTGGCACTCCCACCAGCAGTGGAGGAGTGTTCCTCTTTCTCCGCATCCTCTCCAGCATAAACTGTCATTGGTATTTTTGATTTTA